CCCACAGCGGCGGCCATGACAGTGATGGCGGCCATGACACCACCAATGGTGGCCATGAGACCTTCAGCAGTGGCCATGACACCTCCGGTGGAGGCCATGACACCTCCAGCGGAGGCCATGATAGTGATGGCAGCCATGATACCTCCAACAGTGGCCATGACACCTCTAATGGAAGCCATGACACCTCTAGCGGTGGCCATGGTAGTGACGGCAGCCATGATACCTCCACTGGAGGCCATGATACTGACAATGGAAGCCATGATACCTCCAATGCTGGCCAAGATAGTGAGGGTGGCCACGGCAGCCCCAGTGGTGGCCATGATACTTCCAATAGTGGCCATGACACTTCCAACAGAGGTCATGATACCCCAGTGGAGGCCATGATACTGCCAACGAAGTTCATGATATCCCCAATGGTGGTCTTAACACCCCTGTTGGTAGCCATGATGCCCCTGTTGGTAGCCATGACAGTGATGACCACCATGACACCTCCATTGGCAGCCATGACACCCCAAAAGCTGCCCGTGATACCCCAACAGCTGTCTTGACACCCCTATCGGTGGCCATGACACCCCAAATAGTGGCCATGATGCCCCTGTTGGTGGCCATGACAGTGATGACCACCATGACACCTCCATTGGCGGCCATGACACCCCCAAAGTTGGCCATGATACCCCCAATGGTGGTCTCAACACCACTCTTAGCAGCCATGATGCCCCTGTTCGTGGCCGTGACACTCCCAATGGTGTCCATTATAGTGTTGGCGGCCATGACACCCCCGAGAGCAACCATACTGCCTCCTGATGGGTGCTACAACATCCCCCCAGGAGCGGCCATGCCACCTTCTCCCCCTACAGGCACCACCACCTCCGCTGAGGACTTTGGGCAAGCGCGACGGGAGTTGCTGGCCCACCTGGAGGCGGTGGCCTGGACCCCGTACCGAGCGTCACCGGAGTTTGGGCGCTTCGTGCAGTTCAAGTGGCTGGAGGGGCAGGCGGTGAGCGCCGAAGCCTTTGTCGACTTCAGGGTGCTGGGTAAGGGTGGCTTCGGTGAGGTCTGCGCCTGCCAGCGCCGCACCACCGGCAAGATGTACGCCAACAAGCGCCTCAACAAGAAGCGTCTCAAGAAGCGCCAGGGCTATGAGGTGGGGAGCCCCGTGGGACATAGAGTGGGGGGTGATGGCCGTCTGTCCCCTCAGCCATCCCTCTGTCCCCTCACCTGTTCCTCTGTCTACCCCTCTGTCCCCTCCACCTCCCCTCATCCCTCTTTTCCTTCTTTTTTCCCCCCCTTTTTGGCCTCTATGTTCCTTCCTGCCTCCTTTGGCATCTTCCTGATTATCTCTGCCTGTCCGTATTTTGGCATGTGCTTGATGTGTGCATGGGGCACGCAGGTGGGGAAGGTGCTTTAGACCATCCAAGGATGCTAAGAGATCCACAGCCCATGGGGACACACGTGTGCTTGGCTTGTGCTTGGCGTGTACCTTCATGTGTGCTTGGCATGCGCTTGGCATGTGCAGGTGAACAACATGCTTTAGGCCACCCCGTTTCAGGCGGGCTCCCGCAGCCAAGAGGGACATGTGTGTGCGTAGCATGGAGTGCACAGTCTGGGTGTGCTTGGCGTGTGCCACCCATATGTGTTTGGCATGTGGCACGTCTCCTTGGCATGTGCTTGGTGTGCACCACCCACATATCCTTGGCAAGTGCCACCTGCATGTCCTTGGCATGTGCCACCCGTGTTTCCCTTGGTGTGTGCCACCTGCATGTCCTTGGTGTGTCTTTGGCCGTGGGCTGGACCGTCGCAAGCTGCGTGCCCTTGGCGTGTGCTTGGCATGTGTAGGCGGCACTGGTGGAAAAGCGGATCCTGGCGCGGGTGCACAGTCGCTTCATCGTCTCGCTGGCCTGCGCCTTCCAGACCAAGACCGACCTCTGCCTCGTCATGACAATCATGAACGGCGGCGACCTGCGGTAAGCGTGTGCTTGGCATGTGCCACGCATGTTGCTGCTAGAGACGCCTACCATGTCTGGCATGTCCTTAGCATGTGCCATATGCATGCAATGAGGACAAGGGCAACCCTGGGTTCTCCATACCATGTCCCCCGGTGCTGGTGTGTCCTTAGCATGTGGAGGTACCACACATGTAATGTGGATGAGATCAACCCTAGTTCCCCAAGCCGTGTCCCCAGCATGTCCCCAAGTGCTGGCGTGTGCTTGGCGTGTGCTTACCGTGTTCTTGGCATGTCAGGTACCACGTGTACAACGTGGACGAGGACAACCCCGGGTTCCCCGAGCCACGGGCCGTGTTTTACACCGCCCAGATCCTGCTGGGGCTGGAGCACCTGCACCAGCACCGCATCGTCTACCGTGACCTCAAGCCCGAGAACGTCCTCCTCGATGATGCCGGTGACGTTGAGACGGGGTGGGGGGGATGGGACGCTGGGGATATTGGGGCATGTGGGGACATCGGGGACATTGGGGGATATGGGGACATTAGGGGATGGGGGGCATGGGGAGGTGGGGGACATCAGGGACTTCAGGGACATTGGGGTTGAGGGGACATCAGGGACATTAGGGGATGTGGGGACATTGGGGGAACATGGGGGACATTGGGGATGTTGGTGGACATGGGGACATTGGGGGATGTGGTGCAGGCAGGGGACTGGGAGGGTTCCTGGGGGTGTTACTGGTGATACTGGTGCAGGCAGGGGGACTGGCATGGGTTCCTGGGGAGGTGTTACTGGTGGTTACTGGTGGTTACTGCTGTGGGCAGGCCATGTTCGTCTGTCCGACATGGGTTTGGCCGTGGAGCTCAAGGAGGGACAGAACAAAACCCGCGGATACGCTGGGACCCCAGGTAGGGGACACGGGGGGACATGGGAGAGTCAAGAGACATGGGGACATGGGGGGGGACCCTGGGTATGGGGGGGACATGGACCTTGGAGACCAGGAGGGACACAGGAGGTGGCACAGAGACATGGGGGGACATGGGGACCCCACGTATGGGGGGGGGG